CACGCATATACATATATATATATACACATACATACTAATCCATGTAATAATTCTGATGCTGATATAGTAAGAAATATATATAATAGAATAAATGGCAAAAATTGTATGAATTATCATTAAGTAAAATTATAAATGTTTTCAATAATTAGAATAAGTGTTGTTGCATGACCAATGAAGTAGAAATGTTAAAAGCATTTCATTGATAAAAAAAACACTAGTCAGCAAATTAATTAATAAACTTAATTCTAATATGCACTTATATAAGATTAATTGATAATGCAATGTATTGATGTAATGTGTACAAGGTAAAGCCCTTTACATAAGAAAACTTGCACTGTGGACAACTTAATGAATTAGTATTTGGGCTCTGCATTGTTTTCAATGCATCCCTCCATTGTTAACAATGCACTGTCAGGGGACAAAAACATTCACAACATTTTCAAGATGTACGTCACGTGTCTAGGGATAGTTTAAGTTGTGTAAGATAAAATAAAGATGATAAACCCTGTATTTTTGGCAGCAATTCTGTTATCATGTGTAGTTTTATATATTAGCCATTGTCTAGAATGGGCGTTTCCAACAAATGCTGTTATCGTGTATTCTATAGGGTGCGTTAAGGGCTGCCTAAATACAATGCATTCTGTCATTCATTTGTTTGCTGTCACCTTAGGAGAAATACAATAATATAGTAATTTAACTAACATGTACAATGTTTAGTTTGTAGGCTACTCTATCCATTCACTGTTGAAATTAAATAGCGGGTCTTACCCAAAAAAAAAAAAAAAAAGTGAGCACGTGAATGGACTCTCCGAAGCATTCAAACTGAATCGCGTTCATCAGGTTGACCAAAAGAACCGACTCAAAGTAGCGATTCCTTTGTGACTCGTTTGTGCTCTAAACACTCGGTTAAACCCCAAGTAAAACAATAGATTGCAGCAGAAATGCAGGAAAGTTTCTCGTGCGGCAATACATTTAATGCATCTCCAAATGCGACTCGATATCTTGCAAATAGTGGGTGAAAAGCAACTAATGTGTTTTCTTAAGTAGCATTCCCCCCACTATTTACCTTTAGAGATCTGATAAAGTAACAGAAGCTCAAAAAGAGCTTCATACATACGACATGTCAAACTATTTCCAAGTGTAATGCGTGCGCAAGCTTACGCAAAACGCACAACGTTTATAAACGCGTCCAGTGCATCAAAACCAACATGCAGGTTGTTTAAAAAGACGGATAGAAACACATGCAATATTTAAAAATCCTCGTAAAAATGTGCTAAAAGTTTTGCACAGTCGCATGTTGATTTATTGATACAGACAAATTCACAAAAGTACCGTTAGCCAAATGTTAAGTACTTACATCTTACAGTGCATCTCCCTGACCGCTATGGGTCTCCAAACTATCCCGTTCAAAACACAGATTTAATCCGTTCAAGAATTCAGGACCAATTCCCTTTATCTCCAAGCAAAACATCCATCCAGCTGAACGAGTTGTCTTTGCAGAGCGGAGACCCCTTCTTTTCATTCTCCTTCGGTCAGTCTGAGGCTCCAACACAAACACATGTGCTGATATACCAGCCAGTGACAAGAAAAGGGGGCTGTCTTGACCCCGCCCATCACTTAGCGCCTTCTCATGCAAAAATACTGTATGCAAATGTCCTCGCGAGTACTTGGTTTCACATTGTTTTCCATTGTAATAGCTTCTGTAAGAAAAGCAATTATAAGAAAACAGAAACAGTGGAAAATAAAAATAAAAATCTATTTTACACACATTTATTCATTCACAGATGTTTTCTGGGAGTTTTATGAATCCCTCTAAAATTGTTTATATTATCTTAAATTTTCTATTGACTGTGTCTCAATATATGCTCCAATATTTCTGTAAGTAATTAAGCAGGATTTTATGAACTCATGAGTGAGACAGATGTCTGCCAAAACTGTTGTAATGTACATCTTCAGTATAATTCCTTTAGAATCAGCAACTTAATGTAGTTTCAAGGTTGCTATGTGTGCTGTGCTTTTGACACATGCCTTTCAGCACATAGACACCATTAGTACAGTGTAAAAAGAGGAATGCTTATCTTCTACATGATCTGGAGGAGATCTCAGAAACCTGCAGAAACTTAGTAAGACTCAAACTGTTATTGGGTTTTTATACACTATTATTGTTGTGCATTATTTGTTTAATCTGATTACTGATTAAACTGCTATATCTGTTCACCTGAAATATTTGACTCCATTTAATAGAGTCATAAATTATGCATTACGATTACTCTTTTTGATTATTGATACAGAAATTATTTTTTCCTTCTTATTTATATCATAGAAATGTCTCTTTTAACTTCTATTCACTCGTCTGACTTGAATTCAAGTTTGCATCATCCTAAACACATTTTAGGGGGGGGGGGGGGGATACATTTGGATACAAATGGAATACATTTTGACTGCTATGAATCATAAATAGTAAAATTAATCCATGTAAAAAGCATTTAAGACCAAGCAGAATCCTATATTAAAATTAATTTGAAAACTAATATGGCTATTTTTGTTATCCATGAATTTTCAATCAAATCAAATGAACTTTTTTTTTAAGAGAGGCTAGAAAATTTGTGAAGCTCTTTAATTATTATTATTGTTTACATTTTTTAAATAATTAAATAGCCAAATTCTGACTGAGAACATGTTGAATGTTTTGGCCAGTTTGTAGGCTACAAAAGGCTACAGTTTTTTAATTTAAAACTTTACCAGATTCCTGTGTTCTTCTAATGATTTATGATCTAATAAATTTGTATTTTAAAAATAAGTATTAATTTTTCTTTATTTTAAATTTTTAGAAAATATTTTAGTATATTAATTGTGTCATTATGATGACGATCTAACAAGCTAATCCAGCTAAAAATAGTGCTTAATATGTCACAAAAATACAGTATTTAAATCTCATAAATTGTAAATAGGGTAAATAACTGCAAAGAGGTCCACATTTTGAGAAAAAGAACCACCCCTTATACCAGACTGGCTACGGGCCTGCATTATTTATTTATTTTTTTTTAAGTCATACGTTTGATAGAAGTTTTTTGTCTTGTTATGGTGAAAAAACATTGTCAATGACTTCAGAGATCTTCTAGATGCCAACAAGATCTATATCACAGGCAATTAAGGCTCTGACTATCTATTTACATCTTGCACCATTGTTCACACTCAGTTTTGGTACACATGCAGGTTTAAACCATACTGAACTGAAAACTGGACTGACACAGTTTTTATTTACCACAACTACTATATTAAGCTGCTTTGACTCAATCTACATTTTTAAAGTGCTACAGAAATAAACATGAATTGAGCATGCTCAGTATCCATTCCTTTATCCATTCTCCAAATACAGAGCTTTATTATAAAGCATCTGCTAAAGAAATGAAATTCTACAATATAGATACTTTTGTCATTAATATACTTCTATAATTTGAGGTCTGAATTGAAAACTGGTACATGTATTGAGGTTGATCATCAGTGTTTTTCATTGCAAGCATGATTTCGACAAAAGTGAAAGCAATAAAAGCACGGGGGTGTAAAAACCCGCAACATCCTGTAGAGATGGAAAAAGAGAGTGCTGCTCATGTTTTTACAGGCCAGAAAATACCAGCTGATGTTTTCAACATGAACTCAAAATGGAGAAGTTGCAAAATTTGAAGCAGTCCACAGTTCTTACTGTTGCTGCATGCAGTAGCACAGTGCATAACAATGCATCACAGTTATTCAAGAATGATTTCTACCTTCAACGGTTGCTCAAACATCCCCCTAGATTAAGACATATTCAGAGAATTTATTATTTTACTCTGATATCTACAAAGATGCTGAATAATTTAATGAAAGGAGACTACAGAAAGTGATGTGAGCTGTAATTTCCGGTCTGATAAATAGTATGTGATGCATTTTTGGAAATGTAAACATGCATGATTGGATTAAGTGCATTAAGTATGTCTCATTCTGATATTTCTGTTATTAACATGCCTTTTGACTCTTATGCATTAAAGGGGACTTTTATTATGTGCTCACAATACATTCCTGAGATATGTAACCACTATTAGAATATACGCTCACTGGCCACATTATTAGGTACGCCTTACTAGTACCGGGTTGGACGCCTTTTGTCTTCAGAACTGCCTTAATCCTTCGTGGCATAGATTCAACAAGGTACTGGAAATATTCCTCAGAGATTTTGGTGCATATTGACATGATAGCATCTCGCAGTTGCTGCAGATTTGTCAGCTGCACATCCATCATGCGAATCTCCCATTCCACCACATACCAAAGTTGCTCTATTGGATTGAGATCTGGGGTCAGCTCGGTTTGAACTGCAGGAGATCATCTTGACCATGTCTACATGATATAAATACATTGAGTTGCTGGCTCGTGAGTGTAGGTTAAACTTTTAAAAACCTGCAGAAACACTTCGACTGATGAGACACACAGACATGCAGAACCTAAAGAGTGAAGCACAGTAAATCATTCATCTAATGTTTAACACATATTATATATTAAGGAGAATTTGTGCATGCGCTGCAGATTGATAAAGCGTATGCAATGCATTTAGATAAAATATGTACTGACCAAGACAGAAACAATGCCCAATAAAACACAAGGATAGTTATTAATTCTATGAGAAAACCATGGAGACAACAACAGATAATATGCAACTCATGACGAGATAAGCGCATGCTATGCATCAGCTACATCATATCTCACAGATCTCATTTAAACATCATTACTAGCTCCCACTGATGTCATTTAAACATAAAGAAGCCATTATTCAGCAGCAGCAAGAACTTACAGAAAAGCACGCTCTAAGCAGTGCAGCCATAAAGTAGAAGAACAAGAGACAGACAATATACATTCGCTCCTAATTACAGATGAGAGTCTATTATTTGCTGAGAGAAGCAGGATGCCACTGGGAATATGAGATAAAAACCACAGACAGTGAGAAATATGAATCCCGTTATACAACATATTGGGTTGAAATAGGACTTCTGACTTGTTTCATTTATTTATGAACTCAGAAAATAATTTTTGAGGACAATTTCCCCCAACACAGTCAACCCGACAATGGCTACTTTATGATCAGATAAGATATTTAGATAAGAATATGACAGTAAAACACACACGGGATAAGATTCAGAGTCAAACACACATAGAATAGTGAGAAGACCGTTAGAAATACAATATAAGGTGATAAAATCACACACTTCATATAAAGTACATATAAGGCAATAAGGTCATTAAAGACACACAATAAAGTCATTATTGACACAGTAAATTCCTCAATACAAACTTTGAAGTTCATTAAAGTCATTATAAACACAAAAAAAATCCTCAATACAAACTCTGAAGTTCATTAAAGTCAATAAAACATTAAAAAAATCCTCAATACAAACTCTGAAGTTCATTAAAGTCAATAAAACATTAAAAAAATCCTCAATACAAACTCTGAAGTTCATTAAAGTATTTAAAAACACCAACAAAAAATCTTCAATACAAACTCTAAAGCCATTAAAGATGGAAAAAAATCCTTTATACAAACTTTAAAGTTCATGAAAGTCAGTAAATACACAAAAAACGACTCAATACAAACTCTGAAGTTCATTAAAATCATTAAAAACATCAAAATGTTTTTAATACAAGCTCTGAAGTTCATTAAAGTCATTAAAAACATCAAAATTCCTCAATACAAACTCTGAAGTCATTATAGACGCCAACAAAAACCTTAATACAAACTCTAAAGTTCATTTAAGTCATTAAAAACACCAAAAACTCCTAAATACAAACTCTGAAGTTCAATAAAGACGCCAAAAGTTCCTCAATGAAAACTTTGAAGGCTTATTTTATTCTACTTTACCTAGTTTAATTCCACTCTTTGATTAATTGAATTACTCTTGACTTTTAATGTAGCCTAAACTCTCTCTAATAGTTAATTGGGTTTACTTGATTGTCAAAATATCCTTTAATTAATAGGAATTTGTGATCTAATATCACTGCTTATTATTTATGAAATTATGGTATTCTTTTATCGATACTAGAGTATTCAAAACAGTGTAATAAATGTACATTTTGTTTCAACCCGATTATCTGACATTGGTTACATTGTGCATCAGAGCCCATTTGGTATGCTCATGCATTATTCATCTCTAAACAAGTCTCAGAGTAAATGACTTACTTCAGGTCATCTGAACCTGAAAGATTACTCTTGTCGAGCCTCAAGAAGCAGAAATAGACTGCAGCTCAAGTTGGCATATCTGCAGAGTTCAAAAATCTGAATGTGTGAACCCATTTGACAAATACCGATTGTTGTTGTTGATGTTGTTGTTGTTTTTGGCATGTAACTAGTGATCTACATTCTCATTGTCTGAGGAGTTTGTATGTTTTTTATGATAGTATACTCTTGGCTTGTTCACATGACATGAATGCATCTCAAATTTCACTTACAGATCTTTGTGCTGAGGCGGCAACAGAAATTCCTGAAGGATGAGGTCACTCATGAAGCAGAGTTTCCTTTGGAGAGAGGAGGGAAATAGGGAAAAGCTTTACCAGTTAGGAAGCATTTATAGAAAGTAAAGAAAACATGAATATTAGTGACACTGATAAACAACAACAAACGTTTTCACATAGTCTTTCACATCCTTATGAATGATTTTTGTGCTTTTCGTTATATTATTTTATGTGTTTGGTAAATATTTTGAGTATCAATGCAAACTGTACATATTTGTGACAATAAAAATGTTTTTATTCAAATTTATGATTTTTTTTTTTGCATTTTTGCATTCATTTCATTAATTTTTAATAATAATAATAATAATAATAATAATGCCCTACATTTATATATAGCCCTTTAAAAAGCACTCAAAGCACTTTACACATTTTTGGGAGGAATGTCTTCATCCACCACCAGTTTTTGCATCCATTAATCTTTTAACACTGGTTATAAAATCTGGGGATGTGTTTTTGAACCCAGAAATCTACCCAAAAATTAAAGTATATAT